TTTCCAAAAAATCTTTATTGAGCCTGAGATGTGCTTCAATCGAATCCTCTCTGTGAGACATTTTTTGCAGTAGTTCGCATCGGGCTTTTTTATCTGACAAAAACAAGCTGTTTGAGTCAGCCTCCCAGTCGCTATAGCAACAGCACACACACACACACAGTTTAATGACCTCAGCACAAACCATACGGACGCCTGTTATTACTCATCTTGCTTGAGAGGATTTGAAAAGAGGGTGAAGGAGAGGATGAAAGGGAGATGATGGACTTGTAACAAAGTGGAGGGAGAAAAAAAAGCAATGTTCTTTGTTGGGGCAACTGCCAGAGGAGGGAGCTGTTTACCTCAGAGGTGCAACAGTTTGCAGTCAAATGAAGGAGGCAGTGGCAGCTATTTCCATCAGTCACACACCTGTTAGTGTTTTAGAGGGAAAGCCAGCAGCAGTAGAAGTCTAGTTAAAGCTTCCTGATTGTAAAAGGAGTATGTGCGCTCTGCTCGTATCTCCAATCTGTCAGCATGTCAAATCCCAGCTCTCTGTCTCCTGCATATATGACTTTTCAAACTATCAGACACGGAGTCGTAACCCGAAGCCTTTCAGTCCGCAGCCCGTTCTTACACCTCCTGATGGATAGAACAGAGAGGAAACAGGAGTTTGGCGCATTCATTTTGTTAAAGTGCCTCAAAAACACGGGCTAGTTTATTTTGTGAAAAAATATTAGAAATATTTAAACATTTCATTTCATTCCTCTGCCAAGGCGAGAGTGGAGGCAGAGGAATGAAATGAAACGCTGTGTGTGTTTTCCCCCCTCTGTCAGCAAGGTTACACAAAATTCATCAGTCTGAATTTAATGAAAGTCGGTGGAGAACGGGGAGAGGAGCTGAATGACTGAGAACTGAGAGAAAGACTGTGGCCTTGGTCGAGGACTGCGCTCTTCAGGTCCTTTTGGCTGTTAAACTGATGTGTTAATCTGAATGCAAAATGCGACGGTCTTTGACTTCTGTCCTCCATTTTTTTTGATAAATGGTTGGTAATTTGTCATTATATTGACACATCAGTTTTTAATTATTTTTTTTAAAGGAATCTTGGGGTCATTTTTTTGTGCCAAACTCAGCTTTGATGAAAGAAATGTTAAGTCCTGTTTTTTTGAGCTCAAGATCACTAAAATCAGGCCCTTTCAATCAACTGCTGATCAACAAAATATTGCACATGCTCTTCTTAGTTTTTGGGAGACAAATCCAGTGAATATCTAAAGCAACGAAACCAGAGAAAACCTTTTTAAAAAATCCAGAATTTAAAAGACAAACCTGACAGGAAGAAGTGAGGCTGGAACACAAGAGGACAGCAAACAGGACGAACTGATAAAAGACGGAGGAAGATGGAGGAATCTGAAATCTGATGAAGCTTACAAGACACAGGTGACACATGGGATACACCAACAAAGGAAGGAAGTCAAACAGCAAAGGACTCATGAGGAACGGCCACTTCAAGAATAAAACAGGAAGTGACATGAACAATACTCAGAGATGGACACAAACTGAGAATCACAGGAGACACAAAAGAGGAAAACACGGGAATAAATCACATTTTAAAGAAAATTAGAAAGTCTACTGAACCCAAAACACACAAAGTCTTTAACTTATTTTAATAATCTTGATATTTTCTCTTTGAGGAAGCTTTTGGATCTGCGTAAAAAATGGTTTTATTGATGCTTTCTCATTTATAATCATTTAATCTTATTAGTTTGACTTCCTCTCTGCTCATTCTCTTTGGTCTTTATTCTGATTTTACCTGCATAGTCTGTGTTTTCATTTCATCTCATTTAGATTTTTGCGAAGCACTTGTGAGAACTGCTGTCTGAATAAAGTTCATGAAGAGTATTATGTTTTTAATTCCATCTTTGGACAAGCTTTATTGCATAAAACCCATCCCAGCCAGTAAATAAAACAGCTGGCTGATGTTATATTTGCACAAAAATCTCAATTTATACATGACTGTGCACTTTAGTCATTCTCCAGTCTTGCTACCATGTCGCCTATCTGGTTATTTCCAGCAATTAGTCTGTTTCGGAAAGTTGAAAGATTTCTATTTTACTTTGCTGTCATGAATCTCAGCAATAAACTGTTGATTGCCTATTTTTTGAGGAACTTCTAAAGTCCAATCAGAGTGAAGTGTAACACCTAAATACCATCAAACATGACATCAGCATCAAAACATGCATACGTGCTCAACATTTACACACTGGATCACATTTCACGCCTCTATTGGAATCAAACTAGTTCAAGACCATCGACACACCGATGCTCAGTTCACAGCCTCCCGCCGTGTTTCGTGAATATGTTTACATCTCCGGGCGTCATGGTGAAGTGTGAGTGCAGCCGTGCCCCCTCACCCCGCCGCTGGCATCTAAACGGGCTCACACCCCGCCTGACCCGCCACGCTGGCAGGGTTAGAAGGCTGATCACATTACACACTGGTATTAATAGCCACCCTCTCCCCTTTCTCTTTGTAAACCAATAGCCGACATGATCCCGCACTGTCTCCCGCTCTCTCTGTGCCACTCCTCTGTTACAGCTCATTCCACTTTCAATCTCTTCTCCTCACTCTGATTGAAATATACTCTGAGGAGTGAAGATGACATGCGTGGCCCCAGTTTGTCAGTCACCCACAACAACATACAGCCTCTGCTCTTCAAGAGAATATTTTTCTAATTAGTGGGTTCCTGATTCCTCTCATTTGCGATTAAACAAACTTAATGATTGTTCCGGTGCCTGTAAAACACAGTCGATCTGGGTGGAGATGACCTCAGACGTAGCTTTAGTTGTGGTGCTACGACAACATCCCTTCACCTCTAATCTGTACCTCTGTTGTCTTTAAATACAGTTTCAAGTTAGAGTCGCATTAGCGGAGACATCCATCCATCAGCCACACCTCCTGGAGCTGCAGAGGGTCGCAGCATCAGCGGACTTTGGCCGAGAGGCAGGAAAAGCCCCGGACGGGTCACCAGTCCGTCACAGAGCAAGACAACCGGAACCAATTTAGAATAACCAATGAACGTACCGCATGTCTGGACTGTGGGAGGAAGGCGCAGCGGCTACACGTCCACATGGAGAACATGCAAACTCCACACAGGCTGAAATTAGCCTGTTTCTGAAATTTAATGGTTTTCATTCTAAAATGTAAAGAAAAAAAAATGCACAAATACAAAAGCATACAAGCAAATATGACAGATTCTTCTCCAGAATTGGTAGATTTATATTTAATTTATGTAGCTTTCTTTTTGTTCATACTGAGTTATTTCATGACCAAATAAATCATCTCCATGACTAGTGAGCTAAGTTTACATGCAGATGACTGTGAGGAGATGTGGACAAAACCTCTGGCACAACATAGGAAGAGGGAATTTTGTATTGTCAATTTACTATTTTTATTTTTTTTAATTTATTTTACTGTTGTAAAGAGTTGATTTTCAAGCTTAAAACATATTTTATTGTTTCAGATTTCTCATTTAGACCTACTTGCACAGCACAAGATGCCTTTCCACTGCAGGGACTTTGGGCTTTGGAGACTTTGTTATGGTCTGCACTTGTATAGCGCTATACAATGTGTTTCTCATTTACCCATTCACACACACATTCATACACCAATGGTACACATTCATACAAGCAAGGTGCTGCCTGCCATTAGGAGCAACTTCGGGTTTGGTGTCTTTTACTTGGGAGGGATGGAACCGCCAACCTTGCCATCAGAGGACAACCCGCTCCACCACCTGAGCCACATGTTATGTCAGCCTTGATGTTGTGCACTGTCACCGGATGAGAACATCAAACAGGCAGGAACATGGTGTTTAAATTTAACAAATTAGTGCCGTCTTCTCTAAATTTAGCCAATAAGTGTCTGGAACACGTCGTAGCTTTTCAGGCTGTTCAGAGGTACCTGCCCTGGAGTAGATACCTGCATTTCCCTTAAAACAGCTCTAAAAAGGTTCTGTAGGGGCGGTTCTTGTGGTCGAACATGCACAAAGGTCTGCAACTGGCCTGCGAGTTCTTGCAGTGGAAAACGGCCAGTAATCTTGCCCTTTTCAAGCAGTAAGTGCACTAAAAAAAAAACACACAATAACGTGGAAATATCTTAAATATTTTTTTTCACTCAAAAAAAAAAAAAAACGCAGTCCAACACTTCACCATCCAGACTATTAGTGACGACCGAAAAACAAGCTAACCCTTCCAGAGAAAGACCTTTAGGACTATGTGACGATATTAATTTGACTTAACTGTGCTGAAAACAGGAGTAGTAGAAACATAAATGCAATTCACTTCTGATTAAGTTCAAATTTAGCATTGATTTTCGAGTGCAAAATCAGAAAACAGTTAAGTTAAAAAGTCTTTTTTATTCCCGCTGTGATGGTCAGAAGTCGGACATCTTGCCAGGATTTGCTTTGCGTGGGAGGACAAACAAGTGTGTGTGTTCTCTCAGAGCCCGGCTACCCTCTGACCCCCGGCGTGGACTCCCTGGACGCCATCTTGTCCAGAGCGTCGTCCCGCAGAGGCCTTATTTTTAGCGAGAGTCCGGCTCCTCTGCAAAACTTAATATGGGAATGGCATCTTGGAGCTCTTCTTTCTGCCCTCTCTCATCATACATCCGTCCATACCTTCAGTCCACCAAGACACTGAGCTGGTATCTGTAGCTCTCCAAACACCCGACACAACCGCTGTCCCTTTTCATAGCCACGGCTTCAAACAGGTGGCTGTGTGGCCCAAAGCACGGCTCCTCCCACGTCACCGCCCAGTCGCTCTTTTTCTGACCACTGCTCAGGACTCTCCCCTCCAGCCCTCCACCCTCCCACCATCCGACTTTTTTGGCAGCTCCATGGCTTGTGGTCAAGCAGGATCAGTGGAGTGCCTCCTGGATTTGCGCCCCCCAAAATGGTCCCACCCTTCCTTCCTGGGCCAGTGGCGTCAGCTGAACCACGTGTAGCTCTTTTTTAAAGGGAGGGTGTCAATGTCAGACCTGCTCTTCTCTAGCCGGTGGGGACAGGAAGCGGACTTTGTTCCTAACTCTCCCTGTTTGACACCTACTTTCGTTAGGAACAACGTTAAACCTTTTGAGTGTATTGTTTTTCCCCTTGCATCCCACCATCATCAGGCTTTGAGAAGAGGCGTTTTTTTTCTGTGGCCAGCGGGTGACAATAGCCATGAAGTGGGGCTGGGTGTTTTTAGGGGTTATCCTCTCTTTGGGGACCCTGTCCTGGGGGGAGAAGGGCTTGGAGATCCCCGAGTACGATGGCAAAGACCGCGTCCATGCTCTCAGCGCCAAGAACTACAAGTCCATCATGAAGAAGTATGACGTGATGGTGATCTACTACCACAAAAACGTGGACGGAAACCGCAGTGCCATGAAGCAGTTTCAGATAGAGGAGCTGGCTTTGGAGGTGGGTCTCCGCCTGGATGAATCTGTCTCTAAAGGGTGGTGAAGGGGTTCAGATGGAGACTTGGGATGCAGTTGTGGTTCTTGCACCAAGAGTTTCGGATGGGTGTGCGGTTGACAGGTGAAGAGAAAGACAAAGACAACAGGTTTATGGCAGATTATTCAGTGAGTTGAGGGATAAATGCATCTTCCAGGCTTGACAGGGTAGCTGCTGATGAGACTGAGGCAGATAGAGACTGTATCTGTGGGCTGGAGGAACCGGATAGAGAGAGGCAGTGTGCATGTGATGGGTTTGTAGTCAGTACTTTCTGAAACAGCTGATCTGACTCCAGACAGGAATTTGCCAGGCGTGTATTTGTGAGACAAGTGAACTTCTGTTGATCTGACTTCTTCACACTATCAATCCCTCCACGTTTATTCATGCCAGTGGGTACAAGACTATGAATACCTCTTACTTTGTGCAGTTCATAGTATGGCAGGCTTTTCTACTCTTAAGTTTGGAACACAGAAACACACAGTTGCCTTCATTTATGACAAACTGACTCTTTATACAGCCTATTTTAACCTTTTTAGTTCATCATCACCCCTTTAACCATCTTCATAAAGCAGCAGTGCAGCCACGTATGTCATAAACCACCACAAATTGCTGCATTGGGGAAAAAAAGCCCAAGTCAGGTGTCTCTGCATTCAGCAAACCATGTTAACACTAATTGTTAACTTCAAGTACAGGTTCAGAAAAGTCCAGAACATTAACACCTTTAATACGTGGTAATGAGCGCCTTACATTTGGTACCACATAATTCCTTTTTCTAATGCAAAGCTTATTTAAATGCAGCTCTGACTTTACTCTATTGATGAATCGAGGCTTATTTCACAGACTGCTACTCAACACAACGGCTGTCCTTCAAGTTATCAAACGCTGTAGAAATGGTCTAATCCTTGTCATAAAAAAGATAAATCTGACGCCTTGTAGCCACGTTTGAATGATCAGGGAACGTGTTGACATGCATTGCTGATTTCTCTGCAGATGTGGAGCCTCAGGATTGAGTAACAAGTTTGTTTTTTTTAGGTCTAAAACCAATAATTAGTCACGTTGGTGTCAAAATTAAGAATATTACAAAATTTGACACAGAACTTGATTAAAATGCTTTTAGTTCCACATATTTTTGCATTTATTTAATCCATTAGTGTTGATAGTTCCTGATGATGTGTAACCCATTACATCGTGCTGTGGGTGGGACAGAAATTAGCTTACAAAATAATTACAAAAGATATTGAATTCTAGATCTGATAAACCAATAATCAGTCAAGCCCTAACTGCCTGATATTTGCAGCTAAATGTAGCAGCAAGCTGACCAGAAGCAGCAGGAAATAAAACGTCTGGACATCAGACTGCAGCAACTACTTTAGTCTTTCCTCCTTCAGCAGCTATTACTTTGGCGCCTTTGAGCCAAGCACTTAGATTCCTCCAGAGATGCTGCTAATCAGCCGACACTAGAAGGAGAGCGTTCTGGAGATTCTTATTGGACAAATGAACCTGAAGCACTCTTTGCCGAGCAGCCTGCAGTCGGTGCACCTGGGCCCTGCTGTCAGCCGTATATTCACTATAGCAGCCCTGGGCCTGTCAGAGCTGCAGTGTCTTCTTACAGAGGCACAGTGTACCTTACACGAGCCCGCATAAGTCACCTCTGTAAATAGCCTGGGACAGTGCTGCATGCTTAGCAAGAGGCTAAAAGCCCTCGTGGGACAGACAGAGACTTCACAGCCATACATCACTGCTCTCTCAGCTCTGTCCTCGGCTACACACCGTTCTGCTTTGTATCACTACACAACCCTCTGGGTGCAGGCGCAAGTCCTAAACCATCATTTACACACCCAAGTCACTGGATCTGATCAATTTCCTATCAGCGCTGCCAAGTGGTGCTTCTTGGCCGGAGAAGGAGATGCTCACTGGAGCAGGTCGCTGCCGCACTGTTGCTCCGCCGCTGACTTCCTGCCAGCTGCGACCGTTCAACCAATCGGGAGGGAGCACTGGAGGTGTTCAGAGGGGATGCTTAAAATAGCTGGTCATTACCACCTATGAGTCTGGAAGCATGAATTATTAAAGTGCACAGCTCAAGGATTCAAATCCTAATTACCTCTGTTGGAAAACACGCATCTTGTATAGGATGTGTGTTTTTCTGTCAACAAGTTTAGAATATTTACAGGGTCGTATCTTAATTGGAGCAAAACCAAGGATATTTTCCAACATTTTCTCCTCGGAGGTTTTCACTGATGCTATCACGCATACAGGAAAATAAATGGTCTGTCTTCATTTTTCACCACATCCCGTTTCATTCGCAGTATATGAATAGAAACGGAACAAAGTTAAATTGAACAAATTACAGAGAGAACATTGCCAAAGGCTCTTCCTCATGTAGATCACTGAGCTATCAAGAAACCTCTTCTTTACTGCAGCCTGGATATGATGGTTTATGGGATCACAGGATCATCACATGGTTTTATGTTCTGTAGATGTAAATAATTCTGGTGGAGTATAGCTCCAGCGTGAGCAGGAAATAGCTGATTATTTCCATTAAATTGTGTGATGCAGTGGATTTTCAGACGAAAGACTTCAAAGCTGTGTGGCTCTTTGTCTCTGGGAGGCTGACAAGATGAGGATAATGAACATGGCCGCATGTGGTTGTTACAAGACACTCAGAGATAATGCTGGGTTTTGCTTGTCTGGATTCTGGTACTGTTGTGCTGCACAGCCACATTCTGGAGCCACCGGGAGCAAAAACGGTTCTTCACAGCGATGCCATAGGGGGGCAATTTTAAGTTCCACGAAGAAACTTTCAGCAAGAGGTTATTTAAGGTATCATTTCTTCAAACTGCTCTTCAAGGAACCCCCAAAACTGCCTCAAAGGGGCCATTAAAATGGTCTATTTAGGCGCTCCAAAGAACTTTAGCAAAAACAGGTTCTGTAGGGAACCATTGAAAGACAGTTTTTTTTGTGGAACAACCTCATTTAAGTGATTCTCAAGTAATTTTTCAAAAACAAATGGTTGTGTCAGCATTTCAAATCAAATGATTAAGCACATGGAGCTAATTGTAGCATATTCATTAACACTCCTTTTCTACTTAATTTAATTACAGACCATCAGCATAAGAAACGTTTGCTTGGTCACCACGATGAACACGGATCCCTGAATCCTTAATGGATCTTGTGGATCCATAGTAAAGAAAAAACATCCATTTGACAGACTTGCCAATTCTTATATATGTAAATGTAAGAACTGGCAGCATTTCTGGGTGTTCTGTGATATTTTGGGACATGGACTTACAAGGTGTCAGCTTAGAATTTCAGAAAACACATTTGTCACCGTTTCCTCGACTAATCTAACAATCTTTAACTGCAGCTCTAATTTAATGTGACGAGTACGTAAAGAACCGTCCGCTAACTCAAGAGGCTCTTCAATTGGTGATGGTGCTTTGGAGAACAATCTTCTGAAGACAGATTATTTTCATGAGCGCAGACTTGCCGGATAATATTTTAAAAGCAATGATGACGAGGCTGAAAATGCAGACATGACATGAATCTTCTCCTCCCCTGAAAACAAACCCTGATCAAACACGCCCACAGCAGCGACACCGTGACACACGCCTCCAACAAACTCAGCATTTTCCAACTAGAAAGAGTTTCCCCGTCACTCCGGAAATATGTCCGACATGTCACCTTTGACCACATCTTAGTCTGTGAAAAATAACCCAGGCTGCGGTAAGCGACACCTCGGGCTCCTCTGTAGTGGCAGTGGATCGTGAAAATGCTAAATATTTCAAAATTAAAGTAGCGCAACACTCAGTGAAAGACGTCCATGCAGTCTCACAAAACCAGTATTTGCTAAATGAGTTGTGGAGTGAATAACGATATTGCTTTTCACGTAGGACAAAATACACATTTCATCTGCCTTTGGCTTCACAGCTGATTCCCTTTCAGACATGCACCTGCATCCTGTTCATTTGATCGCAGTTGGGACGTGTTCTGAATAACGCAATAACAATTCACTTAATTCACATATTTTCCTTGCAATGTAAAGTTATAAAAAATTATTAGTAAAACCACAGAAAAACTGTATTATTTCACACATACAAAACAACAGGCCAAAACTGTAAATAATGTTTATGTCAAATTTCTGTATTTTTACAAATACTTCTTTGTTCTTGTACAATTTTTCTTTACATGTATTTGCCATTATTTGAAAGAATTAGATATATGAAGTACAAAAAACTGCCAGTGGGTACAAAAAAAACTGTTGTTTTACAGATGTTGATTGCTTTGTTCAGATAATATGTAGTAAACATAGAAAAAAGGATTAATTTACATGTTGACAGCAAAGAAAAAAAGCAGTAAAACTTTACATAAGATTAAAAATCTGTATTTTTCTAAATAGCAATATACTCTTTTATGATGCGTGACCCAAAAATGACACTAACTATATTTAAAATCAGCCAAAATGTCATTATTCCATTTATTATTTGCTGTTATTTTCATTGTTTTTACAGTTTTGATGGTCGTGGTATTCGACCATTTTTCCATCTGTTTCTCTGGTACCCTTGCTGCCAGATTTGTAGCACTTCTCACTGAAGGTTTTCTCCTTACACTGCACACTGGTCACTTTTTTGTAAAAGCCACAATGACCGTCTTACCTGATAAGAGCTTGTCACATCTCTGCAACTCTTCCAACAAGAGCAGACGTCCGGATGACTACAGGCACAGATGCACAAGTCTTTAGCTGCCTCGTAATCTCAGTAGCGATGCTTAAAAAGTTGCGATAAACACACAGGCTGGGATGGTGGAGGGAGCACATGGCGTCTGCATGAACTCACCAGCAAAGCAACACAAGTGTCAGGAAGCATTTAACACCTGAATGAACGGGATTGGATGACACAAGTCAGCTGACAGCAGGTGAAGGAGCCAATGATTGTGAAATGAGCCAGTTAATGTGAGCTGCTGAGCAAAAG